TATTTGATTTGATGCATATTTTGTACCAATAATGCATAAATACAGTAGAGAAGTTGTTTGGGAAGTAGATATTTGTAGATAAATATGTTATACCATTTTCTACTGTTTACAATGTGTACTGACATTCAGACCAGGAAACAGAATGACCTTTTTTACTTGCCAGAGCACTGTGCTGCTGTTTGTGTTTTCATCTTTTCCTCTTATAACACCTTCTGACCTCCCAAGAGGCTTATAAACAACTTCTGTGTAATTTGCATTATTGACCCTGCATTATCACTTGTTTCTCATCGTAATGTAGAACTGAGTAAGTGGTAAGCAAGAGAGCTGAGTGGGAAGTGATTCTCCCATTCTATGAACAAAATCTCAGGATTTCAAAAAATTCCTGTTCTGAATCAGAGTGAAATTGAGACCATTCTTTTTTTCAAAAAAGATCCACACTCAGCATATCTAATAGCCCAGTGATTAGTTCATTCATTTCGGATATGGGATACCTGGGTCTAACTCACTAATCTGAATCAGGAAAAATAGCTGAATGTGCATCCCTATATTCCAGGGAACTGTCCTAACCACTAAGTTACTGGCTCTGTGTGTGCTAGGCTCTCTATGAACAGAAATTTCATCCAGCACTTGAGAAACCTTCACAGCAAACTTTCTCCAAATGGATATATTCCTGCAGGAGATTTCTTAATTACCCTAATTTGCATTTGTTAACAAAAACTTGGTTTTTTGTTGAGCTGGTAGAGAAGCTTTATGACGTTAAAAATAGAAAGAGAGAAAACCAACCTAATATGTTTGATTTGGTTTATCATACATTGTATGACCTATACCTCAAACGTTAAGCTACTTCATCTCGCACTCAATGTTGCCTATGGCCCTAAAAAACACGAGAACAACTTAACTATATTTTCCTCCAGTCTCATGCTATTTTGGCATTTGCATCCTTAGAATTAGTTTCATAGTTTCTAGGGTTGGAAGGGACCTGAACAGATCATCAAGTCCGACCCCCTGCCCTGGGCAGGAATGAGTGCTGGGATAGCTATCCAACCTCCTCTTGAAGACCCCCAAGGTAGGGGAGAGTACCACCTCCCTTGGGGGCCCATTCCAGAGCCTGGCAGCCCTAACCATAAAGTAATGCCTCCTGATATCAAGCCTGAACCTACACTCAATCAATTTGTGGCTGTTATTCCTTGGAATCCCAGGTGGTGCTCGGGGGAACAGAGCCTCACCTATTTTTCGCTGGTCCCCCCGATGAGTTAATAGATGGCTACCATTCAAATTTATGTCTTCAAGTTTTTATTCATGACCATGAAGACCCGAAATGATTTTAATGAAAGCTGAGATTCTCATCTAATCACAATACCCTGAGGAATTGGAATTATAAAAATATATTACAAAACAGAATGAGATGCTCAAGCCATTTGTGATATTTGGTAATGCTAGTACTTCAAAAGTTACGTAAATAACTCATGAAGACTTTACCAAGCCCCTGACATTCTTTTTGATTGTTGCTAGTGTGATCAGCATCTCTCCTTTTCCTTAGAGTAGACCTTAATTCAGAAACTGACATGCTGCATTAGTGCTTTATACACATGCAGGAACCATTTAACTGCCATTCAATTTAACATCTCATCATATTCTAGGTAGGCAAGGCATAGAATTTGGCTCTAATCTCACAACAGTCAATAAAAACAATCTGTTTTGAAACTACTTGGGCACAAACACAGCTTTACACAATGAGCAGTCAATGGGACTACTACAGTCTTAATCTTTGGGGCAAGGTCCTACTTTTCATTATGCTTGTGAGTACAACACTTTATTCATATGCGCTGTTCTGCAACCAAAGCCTGTAAATCCTACCATAATATTAATAAATAATTCACATTACACCCCAGCTGCTAGGTCTGAGCCATGAAACACTTTCAAAATCTGCTGAATATCCCACTCTGCCAGTTTTCTATAATATAAAAAACTAAAATGTTTATTCTGCTGTCTGATCCTGATACAAATTTTTTCTGTTTCTATTCCACACTATATTTGATCTTTCTGAATATAAGCTCTACTTAGTGTCCAAATTCCACAGGAGTTTTACCGAAGGAGTGAGTGCTAAAAAAAGTCCTAAAGACATGCTGGTCATTTCTATTTTAAGGGCTTTTTTGAAAGGTTTACGTTCTGATTAAATAGTACAACAATTCTATCACTTTTTCAGCTTTTACATTAATTACTAAATATACACAGTTAAGACTTGTCTCCTCGCAAAAAGTTTTATACACAATAAATGTACTATGCTTATTTTAAACAAAATAATTGTCCCTATATCTCCAAACACATATCTCCATCTCTTTTCTTAAGTTTTTATGAATATGAAAAAACTCCAAACACAACATCCACTCAAGTGATCCTTTTCTCTAGTTGCTAGCAGAAAATAAATTATTTTGCCTAATTTTAGTTTCCTTAATCTTTCCTTCTCTTCACTTTCTCTAGATCTCCTTGCAATCTACTTTTGTTATTCAACCAACATGACTGATCTTCAAGAGAATACATGCATATATATATTTGAAATAGCTAGCTTTGTACTAAAATACTTTTGTACTAATACTTTGTATTAAAATACATTTAGCAGACAGACACTGATTTGGATCAGTCAAAAAGTCAGCAGCAAGAGCTTAAATTTTGCTCCTAAGGCACTGATCCCTAGTCAGAGGGACTAAGCAGAAACATAAAGTTAATTATGTGTATATTTTCAAGATGGGCATCTTTGGCTGCCAATCAGAGAGTAAAAAAGCTGCACTGTGTAATACATGCTTGTCTGTGCAGTATTTTCAGAACTTATGACCTTTAAAACCCCTCAAACCCAATTGATGCAGAATCTTTTCAAGTAGAGAAAATGTATCCTCCCTCTTTCCTTTACATTTATACAATATATTTATACAATCATTACTGGTTAAAAAGCTATTCAAAAAATTATAAACTTTTGCCAGAACAACTTCCTGTGATCATTCCTAGTTGTATTTCAGTAGTTATGTGATTGTGCCAGGTGCTTTCCAAACACATGTGCAAAGTCAGTTTATAGCCCAAAAAATGTAGGCTAAAAAGAGCATATTCTCTTACTAGTCATATGTTAGGAAGATACTGGCAAGAACAGAGGGATATATTTTATGTAAGATATCTATTGAACTTAAGTAAAAAATTATTATACAGGATAACAACAGAACTCTCCCATTTCTTGCAATTGCTTTGTCTTCCATCTGGACAAAATGGTAACACTTTCCTCATTCTACTTGCACTCGTCTCCGATTCAAATCCTTTCTTTCACCTTCCCCATTTAGTTTCTATTACATAAGCTCAATTCATTTCAACTTAATCAGATATGCTATACATACCCATCAGAATAAACCAACCATAAAACTCCTACACTTCATGTTAGTAGCTCTTAAAGCCCCCTTTTGAAAGTTTGGTATAATAGACCAGTGTTACTTTAATGTCCTGTCTTACAGCTGTTATTTGTGGGCTCCAGAAAGTCACTCAGACTGGAATTGTCTTGCAGTTGGGTCATCTGTTTTAGTTCATAGGATTTCTGTTTTCCACAGCTTTTCTTGGCTTTGGAAGATCAAAGTGGTGGGTTTCAACCTCAGGGCATTATGGTTTGGTAGGACTACGTAGAGTGTGTACTTAGATTTTATTATTCCGTTATATGGCAGCATAGAGAGTTTCAGTATACAGTGATATGGCTTTGTGGAGGATAGATCATGCCTGACAAACCTGGTGTTCTTTTATGACCAGGTAACTAACCAGCTGGACAAGGGACATGAGGTAGACATCATTTACTTAGACTTCAGTAAGCCCTTTGATTCTGTCTCCCATGAAATTATCAATTAAACTGGAGGGTACTGGCCTGGACCAGCCTATGGTGGGTGGATAATTGGCTTAGAGGCCGGTCCCTGAGAGCTATAATCAATTGGAAGGCCTAATCCTGGAGGGCTGTGCTGTCTCCAGTAGTGTCCCACAGGGATCAGTGCTTGGGCCCGTACTTTTTAACTTATTTATTAATGCATTGAATGAAGGGGTGGAATGCTCTATGATTAAGTTTGTGGACAATACCAAGCTGTGGGGAAATGTGGGTACACCAAAGGATAGGGTAAAAATCCAGGATGCCCTTGACAAACTGATTCTGTGGGCTGATTGGAATCATATGAGGTTCAACAGGGAAAAGTGTCAGGTCTGTCATCTGGGTAGGAAGAACATTCACCATAACGGGACCTGGGAGGGGGTCACAGTTGGCCAGAAGATGAATATGAGCCAACAGTGCAATGAAGTCACCAGCAGGGCAAATAGAACTCTGGCGTGCATCAGCTTATATGTTGCTAACAGATCCAGGGAGGTGCTTCTCCTTCTCTACTCAGCACTGGTGAGGCCGCAGCTGGAGTACTGCGCCCAGTTTTGGGCACCACACTTTAAGAAGGATGCAAATAAGCTCAAGAGGGTACAGAGAAGGTCCACCTGCATGATTAGGGGCCTGGAGGATAGGCCCTATGAGGAGAGACTCCGGGAACTAGGCTTGTTCAGTCTGAGTAAGAGGAGGCTGAGAGGTGACTTGATAGCTGCCTACAAGTAGGTCAGGGCGGAGCACCAAGATCTGGGGGAAGGCACCCCTTTGGAGGATGAATGGGCACAAACTAATTGAGGGAAGATTTAAGTTGGACATAAAATTCTTCTCCATAAGGGTACCTAGAACCTAGAACACATTCCTGGCAGAGGTGGTGCAGTCGCCATCCTTGGAGGTATTCAGAAGGAGGCTGGATAAACACCTCATTGAGCTAGTTTGAGCTTACTAACCTTCTGCCTATGGCAAGAGACTGGACTTGATGATCTTACAGGTCCCTTCCGGTCCACTGATTCTATGATTCTGTGTGCATGATGTGTATTCTCTGGTTTCTCAACAGAGTGCACAAATCTTTTGCCTTTTACTAAAGATTGATTTGCATTTCATGATTATGATTAACAGACATACTGTGACATGGAAACCAGTGGAGGGGGGTGGACAATTATTCAACGACGTGAGGATGGAAGTGTAGACTTTCACCGGACATGGAAAGAGTATAAGATGGTAAGCACACCACTCTTCTGAATTCTTATATTTAGGCTATGACTTGACTGCAAAATTTACCATGCCTGGAAGTGGCACCTTCAAGCATGCTGTGCTGATCCTATACATCTGCTGCCTCAGGTGGACTAATTGGTACTGCTCAACAACCATGCCAATTTGCCTAGAGCCAAGTTAATTTACCTTTTGGAAACATTTGGCTGCTATGGTTTATGCTACTTCTAATTCAGGAGACAGACTAATGGTGCTGCTGTTGGGCTCCATAATTTTGCAGCCTAGATACTGCCTTAAATTATCGTTTTTCTTATGATCTCTATAGAGGCTTATGTCATAGAAAAGTATAAATCAGTTACTTAAAAGGGCGTAAGTCAGCAGGTTTGAAAGTAGTATTTTAATTCTGAGATGAAAATTTCTGCTTTCATTTGGGAAATGCCAGAATAATGTAAACTGTTTGCCTAACTAGAGACTTACAAGTGTGATGTTTGTTTTTAAAGACAAGCTTTACTCCCCAGCCCCCACCAGTCAACTATTTCATAATACATTTACATATTTAATTTTAAAGTTTTTTATAGTTGTTTCTACTGACAGTTTCTGTCCAATCTAATAAATGTAATATCAATTCATTTTGTTTCAAGTTCCTAAAACTTTCTTTGTTCAAATCCACTTTTTGAAAAACTAAAAACCTCTGATCTTCACATGCATAGTAAAGCTTTAGAGTTGACTGACTGAAAAAATGTCCTTTTAAAAGCTGATGAACTGATGAATTCAAAGTCATGAAGGACAACAAATTAAAATTATTTAAATATACAACTTGGATTACAGGGATTTGGTGATCCTGCTGGAGAGTACTGGCTTGGAAATGAGTTTGTTTCTCAGATGACTAATCAGAAACATTATGTTCTTAAAATACACCTGAAAGACTGGGAAGGAAACGAGGCATATTCATTATATGACCATTTTTATCTAGCAAGTGAAGAGCAAAAGTACAGGTAAGCACAACGGGAATTGAACTGAACAAACATCAGCTGATTATTAATTTCTATAAGTTGCTTAGCTTCATAGACTTTAAAAAAAATGATGCAGTAGTTGATATGAGTGCATTTAAAATATGTCATGTAGTGCTCAGGGATGTATTTGGTAGCCATGTTGGTTGAGACAAAAAGAAATGCAAAATTCTAGAACTCTTGGTTAAGAGATTATACCTTTTATTAGACCAACTAAGAAATCGCAAAAAAAAATTTTTCTTTGCAAGCTGTTGGGCGCTTCTTCAGCCAGAGGACAAATCCAAATATTCATATAGTGCTGACATTCTAAATGTATTTTTAGAATGGGAAAGAATGTGTATTTTACCAGTGAATGAAGGTAAATAACACCTTCACTTCCTCCACTTTCCTTTACAGAAGGCTCTGGGTGCAAAATGTGGCATATAGGTTGGGAACAGAAGAAACCCATATAGTGTGTGGATGTTTGGAGGTCTCTGAGGAATCCTGTGGGTAGTCTTAGCGGGGTGTATTCTACTGAAAGATAATAGAGGCAGGAAGATCATTAATTATACAAACTGTGACAAATGCAAATCCCACACCTACACGTTCATGTTACAAACTTCAGGATGAAGAGCAGGGCTTCGTTCGTTCTTCCATCCTTGATAATCTCCACAGTTCAAAGATGAGTTTCTCACAATGAGCCATGGAGCCTGGGTTTAATTTTTTAGCATCACCATTCTTTTTGTTTTATTTACTTATTTTTTACTTAGTGCTCTGGTATATTCTGTTACATTTTTTTCCTGTACTTAGAGTTAGTTATAATTTAAAGAAGGAAAGTATTTAGGGACACCCTTAAATTCTGTTGTCAGACTGAATTAAATGAAGCTACTAGACAATATAGTTTTGGATGTGCTTGTTCACTGAAATAAGGTAAAGGAACAACCCTCCAATAACCACATTAAGTTAATATTATTCCACAAGCATTATATTTCCATTTTTGGCTAATTACATAAAAACAAACAAACAAAATGCATAAGGGGAAAAAAGGAAAGTTACTAGGCTCACAGCAGGAATTAGTTGATAGAAAACAGGCGACTGGGAAACTATGACTCCTTAAAATAAGAAAAATTTGCTGGGTAGAACTAACAAGAGTGGTAATGCAAGAAGGAGCCTTTCCTTCCCAGGCCTATGGTGGATGGTATCCTTACAACTGGCTCTAATGTTAGAAATCTCAGAAGACAATCAAAGAGATACAAATCAGAATGGAAATTAAACTACCATCTTGCTCTAAATGATGGTAAAATAAGCCCCCTAGTCAGAGAAGCATACAAAAGTAAGGCTAGAAGAGACATTAGGAATTCATTGAGTCCAAAACCCTGACCAAGACAGGGTCAACCCTGTATAAACCATTCTAGACAAGTGTTTATCTAGCTTGTTTTTTAATTACTTCCAAGGATGGAGATTCCACGAGCTCTCTGAGTAGTCTGTTCCAATGCTTAACCACACTTATAGTGAAAATGACCTTCCTAACAAGGAAAATTAAGCAAATGTGTCAAAAGTCTGTCTTTCCCTCTCCAACAACCAGTGTATATCTGTAACACTGCATCTCAGTATATGCATGCTCTGTACTTCCTTCAATTTGTGACACCCAATACAGAATATAGATATAATATTTGCTTTGATAAGGAATTAAATGATTAATATGACTGATGTTTAAAATATTATCATTAGCAACCACTAAAATAAATGGGGCAGTTCATACTTCAGTGCTATTGTTTCAGGCTCTCTGAAATCTCAGAGATGTCATTTAATCATCAGTTACCTCGGAGACTTGATTTTAAATAAGATCTCAAAAACTGAGGAACAACTGAGTGGTCGAAAAAGACTCTTTCACTCTGTCAAGCTTGGGAGCTGGAGTGAGCCAACACTTTGGAAAATACTGCTTTAGGAGAATTATGTAAAAGAGTTACAAGCTGTTGGAAGGAACAGTCTGAAAAAGCTTACAGCTCTGCTTTCCAAAATCTGACTATCTTGAAGTTAAGGTCATTGACATTAGGGAAAGTAAATTTGACACCCTTTTTTAAGAACCAAATTCATATGTTACACGCATTTTTAAATAAAACCCTTTATAAAATATAATCACCAATAACGAACTTTCATCCAGGGAGATTAGAATCCATTAAAAATATTTTAAACTCTTAAATACATATTTTTCACAAAAGAAAATAAAAGTATAATAAGACTTTCCCTGTCAAGAGATTACCAAAGGTAAATGGAAAGAGATACTGTTACTTCACCTCAACTCTCATAAACAAAACAATCCAAAACTCTGAATCTCTCTCCATCAAAAAATGTTAGAACTTAATGCGTTAAGCAGTATACAGTTGTCTCAACTCCAAACCAAATATTTTTCCATCTGGAAACAGTTAGAATCTACAGCAGAGATTTTATTTTTTAAATTAAGGCATTAAAATACTTATAAAGGCAACCTTTGCAAAATGGGTCATTACCCATGTCCATTTATATTATTAAAAAATAATTACTGCAAAATAAGATGGGTTGTCTGTAAAAATGCTATCAAGTATTTGATGTGCCATAGAATACAGTGGTTCAAATTAGATACATAACACTCTGAAAGATATATAGTCTTAAAATTATGTTTAAATATATCCAGCTATGGACAAATATTCATGATATAAAATAATTTATATTTGTATTAGCTGGGTTTTGAATGCTGCAAAGAAACAATGTAAGTTATGCTAGGGGACAAAATTTCAAATGGATTCCCCAGGACAAGAACATGATCAGAACCAAATCAGGTGGTGTCTTGATTCCCAACTCGGAGATTTATCGGGGTGATTTTGAGCATGTAAAATTCTGTGGTTCCATTTCTTCAACTCTACAGTGGGGAGAATTATACTGATCTATCTGAAAAGGGAGCTGTAAGCTTAACACATTAACATCTGTTAGTGTTTTGAGATTTATGCACTTATAGATACCAGGTACAGGCATTCAGTTTCTCCTGGGAGAGTCAATACTTGCCCTGGAGAAAAATAAACTGAGAAGAACCAGAGTTAAATCACTCTCAGGAGAGGTTCTTTTCAAAGAGAGAATTTCTGTACGTATCATCTTCTGAGAGAAGCCACAGTACAGTCCTACAGCATCCCAGGGTACTTTGCTCTTCCCTGCCTTCCCAAAGGGAATAGTTTCTTGTGTGATGGACTCTGCTGCTCCAACTAAGCAGAAAACAGCACATGCCCCTTTCAGAATTCCTATTTGTGCTGCAGGGAGATACAGGCAGGATGAGTCAGCCACTCAGGGCTGTGCAGCATCAGAACAGTAAGCTCTCTGCTCTTCATTGACTCAACATTGAAATGTCTGTTCAGATGTTTCCAGATAAGGTTCTCCACCAGGAAAGGAAACTGAAGAGAATTCTCCCAGATAATTTACATCGTGTATACAGCCAGTATATCTGACTCGCTTTCATATATTATTCTTTGTGGCATTCTAAAGGCTGCTAGAACAAAAAGAAACAATTTGATATCACGAATATTAAAACATATCTGGATTTTTTTTAACTTAACTTTAAAAATGCGCATCTTTCATATTGTTATATATAGATTTAAACCACTACATAATGCATCTTCAATTTAGTAGCCTGAAGTTAGCAAAAACAGATCATCTTGGAAGGCATCCAATTTTAACTTGAAGAACTCGAGACAGAGAACCTGTTACCTTCTTTAGTAAGGTAACTAAATGCAGAATTCTCTCTCTGTGGAGATGCTTATCATCTATAAATTATCTCTCAATCATGTTTTTGCTGCTATTTATGACCTGAACAACGCCACTGGATGCAAACCTCCACCCCTCTGGAGCAACTAAGTCTCCTGAACCTGGGGATCAGTGACAAAGTTAAGTGCAGGAGACTTGGCCAGGAGCCAAGTTCCAATATCCCCAACAGCAGTGGGGAGGGGAAAATTCTACAGAGACAGTAAGCACAGGCATGAAAGAGTAGCCTGAGGGCCTGAGGAGAAGGGTGCGACAGAGGGGACAGACAGTACAGAAGAGTAATTTTGGGCTGGACTGGACTTTCACAGGACAGATTCAGGCTATTGGCTGCAGGTTACCAAGCTGTGGATTATACTACTTAAATTTCTCATTGTAAAATATTTTCTCTGTCCACAGAGTATTTTTCATAAGTCTTTTCTGAACCATCTCCAATTTTTCAGTACCCTTTTTAAATGCAGATTTCCAGTATTCTAGTATTGTCTAGTACTGGCCTCACCAAGGCTATGCAGAAGTAGAACACATCTTTTTACTCCTACTCACAACTTCCCCTGTATCAACTGAAGGGTTGTGTTAGCTCTCTTGCTACAGCATCAAAACTAGGAACATATGCTGAGATGCTTGTCCTTTATGACCAGGGATCCTGGTTTTTCCTGATAAAAAAAAAAATCACAAATTCTCTACTAAAAACCGTAAAATCCGAGATTAAAATTAAAGGTCCCCCCCAGCCCTCCCCCAGCCCTGCTAGTGCCCCTCACTCCTAACCCACAGGCCCCACAGCTTTGCAGGTGCCCCTTGCCTACCACCCACAGCCCCTGCTCCCCCACCCCTGCCGGAGGGGGCCACCAGTTACCAGGAATATGGACCAGGGTCTGCAGCCCCCTGCCCCTGCTCCCCCCCTGCTGCACACTTGGGTGGGGTGGCTCCCCACATCTGAATGCACTCCCAGAGAGCAGGGGGGACCCACGCCTCCCGGATCTGTACCAGGGCAGGTGCAAGCTGACGGTGCTGCCCAGCTGGGTAGGGCTTGGGAGACAGTGCCGCAATGCGCGGCTGCAGGGCCCCACCTGGGAGCAGGACAGGACCACAGGTGGCTCGTCTAGGGGAGGGAGAGGGGGAGGGCAGCACCCCTCCCCGCCCACCCTGGTGATGTGCCTCCAGCGCCTGCTGCTGCTTTGGAGAGTCCAGCCCTGTGTGCAGGAGGCACGTCGCTGGGGCAG